CCAAGGGGGCGGATGCAGCTGCCCTCACTGCCAAGCGGGCGGATGCAGCTGCCCTCACTGCCAAGCGGGCTGATGCAGCTGCCCTCACTGCCAAGCGAGCGGGTGCAGCTGCCCTCACTGCCAAGGCCATGGCGGTCAGCAAGAGAAAGAGAGAGTCTGTGGTCTGCACATGCACACGCTTGGCCCACTGTCCATGTGTGTGTAGGAGGGTGCAACTGCGGTTGCCCTCACTGCCAAGGAGGCGGATGCAGCTGCCCTCACTGCCAAGCGGGCGGATGCAGCTACCCTCACTGCCAAAGCGGCGGCTGCAATTGCCCTCACTGCCAAGGGGGCGGATGCAGCTGCCCTCACTGCCAAGCGGGCGGATGCAGCTGCCCTCACTGCCAAGCGGGCGGATGCAGCTGCTTTCACTGCCAAGGCCATGACGGTCAGCAAGAGAACTGCTTGCACCATGAGAGGCTTGACACGGACATCTCCTGGCCCAATGCTGCAATGAGCATACTCTTCGACCACTTCATCAACCTCGTCGAGGAACTGGGACTTCGGCTTGTCGAACCCTTTTTCTTCGACCATGACGGCCAGCAAGATAAGCGGGCTGTCGATTCAAATCTCAACATTAACACGCTTAATTGAGACATGCTGTTTGCTGCAGGCAAAATGGACTCCTTCGGGGTCGTGTTCCAGCGGATTGACTAGCATCTCAGCCCTGAAACCGACAGAGACGCATTCATTTGGACCAGCCCAATTGACCAAGCTTCAGTGAAGATGAAGACACACACACATCGAGCGATGGCCGAACGACACGATGCAATGCGATGATACAAAAAGACTGACTGAAAGAGACATGATGAATGCTATACGCGCAATGGAGAAGTGACTGATGAATCGAAGAAACAAAACGGACAGACACGTTATGGATTCGCTGGCCACCTTTTTCCGCTGCTACTCACCTGCACAACTTGAAGGTCTCTCGCCTTGTTGCGAACCGAATAAATAAAGTGCCAGCCACTTCAAGGCATCCTTCCACCTTGACCAGAAAATTCGTTTTCATGCTGAAACATCACACATTCGCAACCCGAAACCACATTCGGGCCTGTCGGCTTGCTATGAGTACCTTTATATGACTTCCGTTTGTCTTGTCCATTTCTACATAACTCCAGTCTATTTGATGCGAAAAGTAAGACATATCGTCGTACGATGGGTTATCGCGTTCTTGAATTTGAAACCTGCAACATGCCCCTGACACATTGGAAACAATTGCATACATACCCCGTTGAAGGCCCCTCTCTTGACCGAGCCATTCTCAAAGCCTCCCAAATATGCGTAAAAACCCCGGAAGAAAACCCCAAGAAACACACACAGGCACAGGGGAAGACGTACCTATCCATCTATCCAGCCACAACGCATAAAAACATACATAAATACATTCATTCATTCATTCATACATTTATTTATGCAGGCATGACAACCCATCCGTCATCATATTGGATGCACCACATAGTACAAATACGCATAAAACATACAGAGAACAGAGACAGAAAGACAGAGAGACAGTGAGATTGTCAGAGGGACAGACTGGAAAGGCAGATATATCCATACATCGATGTTTTTTCGAGTGTCTCGGCGGTGTACAGAACTTGATTTTTGGCATGAGTATTGCCGTTTCCCGCGAGTGGGAGAGCGGGGCGCTTCTCCGCCACAACGAAGAGAAAGGGAAAGAGCACCTCACCGAACCACCGGGGAGACATTTTAAGAAATCACGCACGACCGGTTGGTTGGTTATTGTGTTTAACGAGACTCGTGTCTGTAACCCCGGAGGGATCCTGTTGTCTCACGCACTAAACTAGCAGCATGTACATGCAAAGCATGCACACGGCCTGTCTACCCCTCCCTGCACTGGCACCGGCGGACAAACAGATGGCAACAGAGAGCACTGGCTGCCTTGTAGAACGTTGACAAACACCGATTCCGGCTACATACACAAGAACGGGCGCTGTCGCCCAGCAAGAGCCATGGCAAGTGTACAGAAGCCAGAAGGGGGAAGTGGAAAAATGAGCGCCCTCTGAGCCACAAAAGCAACAATCAGCCAATCACATGGGGGCGGGAGGTACTGAGTGGGCGGAAGGTAGAAACAACCCACCTTTTGACGCAGGCCAGTCTTTCGATGGTTGCTTAGGGTCGAATCCTGCGCAAAACGGAGGCACACCCCTCCTCATCACAGTAACCAATCACCAACCAACCGGGGACCAGGAGTTGTGGATTCCTCCTTATGGCGATGTTCCTCCGAGCAGCCACTCACTGCTCATGGTGCCAGTGCTGTCGTTGGTGATGGGGCTGGTGAGCAGCTTCAAGTTCCGCCCCTCGTCTTCATTCAGCCCCCACTTTCCTGCAAAGGAGCGGGCTGTGTTTCCACACATCATGCAGCAACACCAGTTTCGAGTTCAAAACCTCGTGCACCACTCGGTAAGCTCAGCACGTACAGAAAGCATGCTGTCGAAGCTGTTTCGCTCATCTCGCTTCTTCTGCTGCAGATCTCGAGCACAGATGTAGACGAGGAGGCTCTCGAAATACCGCCGATCTCCGCCGTCGATTGCCAGCGGAAGATATACGCGACATTCGGCGACTCAGCCCGCTACGACGGCAAGATCCGCTATGCTATCCGCGTCGGCTACCTGCCTGTCCTCCCGGCTGGCCTCGCAATTCCATCTGGAATCCATCGACTGAGTGCGCTCTTCGACGAGGACGAAGACGAGATGGAACACGTCGCTGATTGGTGGTATCTGCCCGTGGCTATGGAGGGCAATTACACTGCCTGGAAGGCGTTCGTCGATGTCTTCGTCGACAACTATCTTTACAAGGAGCCGAAAAAAGAAGGAGATCACTGGCTGCGTCTTCGGCACTTTGGTGGAGAGCTCAGGGCTCACCCCTGCTAAGCTGGACGCACTGTGGACCACCGGAGTGATAGAGAGGGGCGTCAGGAGCATGAAAAATCTCGGCGAGCTTTTGGCACAAGAGGAACAAGACAAGGAGGTCATCTATGTCTTTCTCGTCGACGGTCGCCTGGATTGGTTCAAGGCGTGGCTTAACAAGAGAAAGGGCACTCAGTCTGTGAACGTCTTCGAGTATCTCGAGAGTGCGGAGGTCAACATACTGTATGGGAGGTGGAGGAAGGAACGCTACCTGGAGCTGTATGAAGGCGTCAGGAAGGAGCTTGAACAAGTCAAGAAGGAGAACGAGAAGCTCAAGACAGGGGGTGCTGGATTGGGACGGCTCGTCGGGTGGTGGTGGTGAGGTGAGGAAAAGTCGGCGAGCGGTGCTCCCCCACACACCTCACCTCCATCGGTGTGGTGGTGGTGAGGTGCGACGTACAGGGTATACATAAGACGATGCTTGCCAGATGCGATAGACAGCTAGTAGTGATTGGTAGGTGCATGCTCGTGCGTTTCGAAGTCGCCTTGGGATGGGCAGACAGTTTGTGTGGACCACCGGGCGTCCTGTTGGGCGTGTACTATGTTTGTTTTCGTCGTATAGGGGCCTGGCCCTCTCTGGTCACGTCAATCACAGGAGCTCTGGTACTTTTCATTGATTGCACCGTTCATTCATCAATTCCCCAACGTAATCCAATCACGAAAAACCCACATGAGAACGCAACGTGAGCTGCCTGTCGGCTTCACGAACCACATAGAAACGTCTATTAAATGCTGTTCCGTCTGTATACCTGAATGCATGTACACATCCATGTCAATCCCGGCTGCTCACATCGCATTATGTGGCTGAGAACAATTTAGCCCATCCCATCAAGGGTTGACCTGGCACATCGACAGGATGAGACCGCAGACGCTCACTAAGCGGATAGGATCATGGCCGCCTAAGGGACTGAGGAAAGCTGTGACGGCCTGACATAGAGGCTAGCACCACTCGCCTAGTTACCCTCGCATCACAACCTCCATCGCAGCCAGCCCCCTTCGTCTCTCTTGAGCTGTGCGTTCTCCTTCTTGGCCTCTTCGAGCTCCTTCCTGGCGCCCTCATACATATCTCGAGGCTTGCTGTTATGGTCAGTTTTGGAAAACTCAGTGTAGACTGACTCTTCTTGGCCATGAAAGACATTGACCCCTTCGTCATAGAGATACTCCAGCATCTTCCACCCCTTCGTCTTCTCCTCCTTCAAAACCCACGCCTCGAACCATTTGTAGGGACCGTCGATAAGCAAGGCATAGACGACCTCCTTCTGGCTGTCTTGTCCCTTCTGCGTCAGAAGGTCACCGAGCTGCTTCATGCTCCTGACGCCACTCTTGATGACTCCAGTGGTCCACAATTCGTCCAGCATCGAAGGGATGATGCCCCAACGGTTGTGGATCCATAGGCCGAAGAAGACGATGAAGTGATCTCCTTTTTCACTTGGCTCCCTCGACCGAAGGGTGAGAATAAAAGACTCATCCAGAACCTTCCTCCATGTGGTGTAATTGCCCTTCATTGCGACGGGAAGCATCGCCCAATCCTCTGTGTCGCTGCTGTACAGCATGTTCAGCGTTGTGTCGCAGTCGGAGCCGCCAAGCCAGGAGGGATAACTGGGACGTAGCCAGCCTCCACGGCATATTCGATCTGCCCATCGCACCCTGCCGGGTCGCCGAATGTCTTGTATATCTTGTGCTGGTAGCCAAGGAGGCTGAAAGGGGGAATTTCGAGAGCCTCCTCGTCTACGTCTGTGCTCGAGGTCTGCAGCAGAAGAAGCGAGGTGGGCAAAACATTTCAGCAGCATCCTCTCTGCTCTGTACGTGCAAGGCTTACCGCGTGTTGGACCACAAGGTTTTGAACTCGAAACTGATGTTGCTTGATGGCTGTGAGTGGAAGCACAGCCCGCTCCTTTGCAGGAAAGTGGGGGCTGAATGAAGACGAGGGGCGGAAGCTGCTCACCAACCCCATCACGAACGACAGCACTGGCATCATGAGCAGTGAGTGGCTGCTCGGAGGAACATCGTCAAAAGGAGGAATCACAACGTCCTGGTCCCCGGTTGGTTGGTGATTGGTTATTGTGATGAGGAAGGAGGCATCCACGTGTGCCTCCATTTTGCGCAGGATTCGACCCTAAGCAACACTATACACCCACACGCGTGTCCTCCTCTTCGCCCATAGCGGCCCTCGTGCCGCCTGCGTTGGCCGCGGGGGCCGCCGAGCCGCTCGGCGTGTCGTTCCATGCATCGAGGATATCCCTGGCGTCGTGGAGGCCCTGGGGAGGGGCCGTGTTTGACGGGTCGAAGCCCTCCCGAGAAGTCATGTCGGCCAGGACCTCGAGCCGGCCTGGTGGGGCTCCCTCAGCAGCAATGAGCTCATCCAGAGACGGTTGAGGGCGAGCCGGGGGGGCAACGCGTGGCGGCCTGGCTGGCGGGGATTCGCCCCTGCTGCTCGCCGAAGGGGAAATGATCATCAGGTGGGCTCCTGAGTCGATCCGGCGGCGACGATAGCGGTGGTGTCGTCGTTGCCGTTGGCGACGGCGGTCTTGGCGTTGCTCGGGTCCTGGCCCCTCACCGTCGATACGCGCCGCCAGTGCCAGGTCCGCTGCCAAAGCCGCCGACTCCGCCTCCAGGTCGTCGACGTCCATCGGGACTTCCTCGCTGTGCGCGTCGGCCCGCCCGTTCTCGTCATCGCGTGAGGGCAGCGGGGCGGGCAGGGGACGGGCGGCTGGGGCGCCTGGGGGGTCGTCATGGATCACGATCGGCGAGGCGGGGCCTCCATCTGCCTGGGCGTTGCT